ATTCTTTCTGTGAGGTGATGGACATTACTGGAAAAGAATCAGAAAACTTGAAGTTGTACAAGTACACTTATCCACTGATATTCCATCATTTGATATCAAAACGTCTTTATAAGAACTTTTTTGTGACAGTAGTAAAGATATATATACATTCCTCTTTAGGAAAGAAGATTCGAATTCGAAGAATAAAGAAATTCATTCTTTCTGTGAGGTGATGGACATTACTGGAAAAGAATCAGAAAACTTGAAGTTGTACAAGTACACTTATCCACTGATATTCCATCATTTGATATCAAAACGTCTTTATAAGAACTTTTTTGTGACAGTAGTAAAGATATATATACATTCCTCTTTAGGAAAGAAGATTCGAATTCGAAGAATAAAGAAATTCATTCTTTCTGTGAGGTGATGGACATTACTGGAAAAGAAATTCAGAGAACTTGAAGTTGTACAAGTACACTTTTCCTTCTAATGTGTAGATATAATGGACCTTCGCAGCATATATATGTAAAGAATGCGAACGGTCTAAATACACATTGCCACGATATATCACTGACTGAGACCATATCTGAACAAATTCATTTCGAATTTTATAGTAAAGCTTACTTTTGAAGGTTGAGAAAAAGAAGTAGCAAAAATATAACATTTTTCAATTTTTAAGAGTATCAAAGCACATGGAAGTGGGAAGAACCAACATCAGGCACTAGACATTATCGCTGTATCTGATCAAACTCAGCTACCACTATCCAATTAAAAACATTGGTTTCTAGGTTGGAAAGAAGGGGATGTTATCGTTGTTATCACCCAGAGATCACACATCCTCATCCCATTCTGTAGAAGCTGGGCCCACAAAGCGATCGACCCACTAAGCAATCTGAGCCCTAAATGATAATAAAACCCACGTTCTGTCAAAAGTTGAAGCTGTAAAATCGCACTGTGGAACGGAGCTCTGGAACTATAGCATTAGAAAGGAAAGCACGTCACAAACTACCCTTCAATAGTAGCTGAGATCATGGGGTGGATCACTGAGGTTTTTTTGACTGAACTGGAGAACGGATTAATATAGATCTATAAGTGTCTCGCGGGATTGTGTAAATGCGGGTTTATTTGGAGAGCAAATGGACCACTTAACGTCCAGATTAGCTTATTACTTCTCCGTGATTACATTAAGTACAACAGACTGACTTCATAACGCCATACGTCATGACACACGAGAACAATACCGCATGTTTACATATTTACATACCGCACCGGGTGTTTTCAACAGTCGCCTACGTACATGCATCTTTTAATATACTGTAAAGAGCTGCTAAGTCAAGTTACTCCGTACCGTTTGGAGGACTGAACGATGGAGCTCAATAATGTAATTTCGAAATAGCTTTTGAAGAGTGATAACGATTAGTGTTTCTATATTAGGAAGTCACACAACAGGTCAACAACGTGATTCCAGACAGCTTATATTTAGAAAAGGTGATAAAAATCACCTATTTCTAGCACGAATGAGCATGTATTATATAATATGTGTTCCAAACATGTAGTGTATGTGCATTAGAGTCCTGCAGTTTCACATAATAACCGTTGTTAAAACGTCTTGGTATTACATTTGTCACTATTATTGGTGGAAAGCATTCTGTGAAGACATCTCAGTACACGCAAGATCGTTAAATAGAAAAGTTGCATTGATTTCATACTTGCCTAATACTCTACAATAACAACAACAATGATGATGATGATGATATTTGAAGCAGTTAAAAAGTCGACTTTGTAATATCTTTATAAGAATTCATAATAAAGACAACAGCCAGTATCCACAAGGAAATACTCTTCAATAACTTAACAATTTGTCAGTCTGCATTATGACGCGATTGAAAAAACCCGAGTTTTTACAGAAAACGTACTTTTAATGACAAGAAAAATACATAGTTTACCTAGGTAAAGAAACCCGGGTATACTCGTATTGGATAAATAATTTTGTCCAGGACTTCATCCCGTTTGTGTCCATTATTTATTTCATAGGCTGCATATGTTTAAATGTTGAGATCAAACCTACATTGAAAATCAATCAATCAATCAATGCTTTATTGCACAAAAGTCCATAGGCCCATATACAATAGAGTTACATGTATATATCAATATAGGAATATACATAGTTTGAACAAAAATATAATTCAATTAACAAAACGAAGATCGGCGTAAGATTAAAGCATTTTGTGTATATAAGGCAATATGAAATTGGGCTGTAGGATTTCTGCAAGATAACAGCTTCTTAAAATTATGTGTGGATATGAAATTAGATGTAGGGAAATAGCATACGTCAGTAGTTACACTGACGAACAAAAGAAAGTAACACTGTGTCGGTGACTTGTAAGTCATAATCAAAACGCTTTTTAAAATATTTACCTTTTCTTTTACAAGAATATCCCAAAGCGCCAAGTGGGTATTTAGTTTAGTTCCCGATTTTCAAAAATATAATAATTCTACAGGCAGCGAACGAGACATCTCCACGATCAGTTTTGCTGCTAATAAGTTGTAAATCTATAGGAAAAAATGCTGGAACCATTTGTCAGGCCCAGTGAGAAATCAGTCTATTTAAAACCCGATTTCTAAGAACTGTTGAAAGCTGGTAATGATTGATTACATCAGGTTGTGTAATTGAGCAACACATTTCAAGCATAGCGCTGTCATTTGAATCTGTGGAAATTAGACCCTAATTACTTTTGCTATAGGTGATGATTACTTGTGTTACGTTAATGTTTGGTTAGTGGGCACAGAGTAATAATGTTTGGTTAGAGGATGAAAGAAATAATGATTGATTAGTGCATACAATGTACTAACGTTTGGTTAGAGGATGAAAAAAGAAAGTTTGGTTAGAACATACGATTTAATAACGTTTTGTTAGAGGTTAAAAAAAGAATAATATTTGATAAGAGAATACAATGTTATAACGTTTGGTTGGAGGGCACCAATTAGAGGCCGCTTGTTAGTTTAGTTAGGAGATCAATCAATATTACCTGTGGATGTAACCAAATAACTAAATTTGGAACCGAAAGCACACACAAACTAAGTGTGGCACTGTATATGCTTAAACATATTTTTTAGAAGTCGTTGTACTTAACTCGCACTTAAGATGGGTTTTGAAAAAATATAGCTTTGCAAGATTTCGTTGTACACCGCGTTGTTACCATGGTAAGTTCACTGCCAGCAATACTGACTGACTGACTGAGTTTGGTTTTACGCCGCTTTCAGCAATATTCCAGCAACATCACGGCGGGGGACACCAGAAATGGGCTTCACACATTGTACCCATGTGGGGATTCGAACCCGGGTGTTCGGAGTGACGAGCCAACGCTTTAACCACTAGGCTACCCCACCGCCCCACTGCCAGCAATAAGAGTCTACATACACCTAAGATACATAACAGCATGGATCGGTTATACCATCAGAATACACACCACCCACAGGTGCATTACATGACATTGATTCTTGGTAGCACACTGTTTCCATGGTCTCTAGAAATAATACTCACAAAGTATTAATCTCTACGATTTAAAAAACATTCTTGATAGTTGTATTTTAAAAGTTTAACGATGCCCTACGGTACTCCAGCCATTTGAGAGCAACCTGTAATTAATCTAGTCTGGACAGACAAACCATTGATTAATATTTCCAGTCTCTGTGGGGAACCTAGACTCACAGTCAAGCATGGCACCATAACTCGGTACCACAGGCATAGTACACTTGTGTGATGGGTGATATTCTCATTTGGGCTAGTTACACGGTTGGTATTGATCCTGTTGTATAGTCACTGTAGCTATAGAGCGAGCATTTCGTCTTCACCGCGTTCATTTGGGTCTATTCTCTGTACATTGTGATGATATTTATATCTGGCGCAATCTCACATTGACAGGCATATTATAACAGATGACATTGTAGGAAAATAGGCAAGTTGTATTTTAATATCAATCAAACAATTGATGGCATTCAGACCAGAATCCAACAAATTTGGTAAAATTACAAGAAGAGATGGCATGTGTACCACAGGCATTTATAAGAACCTAGACACACAATCAACCATGGCACCATAACTTGGTGCCACAGGCATAGTACACTTGTGTTATGGGTTTATTCTCATTTGGGCCGGTTCTACATGGTTGATATTGATTTGATTGTGTAACCACTGTAGCCATAGAGCAAGCCTTGCGTCTTCACCGCGTTCATTCGGGTCTAACTCTCTGTATACACGGTGTATATTGTGATGATATTTATATCTTCATGATATAAGATATATTCATCATCTTACGTCATGATATGACAGATTCAACATCTGATACCATTTTGTTACAAATGTCATGAGATATATATTGTCTTCCGTCATAATGTTATAATGCCACAATGGTATAAATGATATAACGTACATAGTCTTATGTCATAATGGTATATATATCAAGAGATATACATTGACTTACGTCATAATGTTATAATTTTCATGAAATATACATCGTTTTACGTCATAATGGTATAAATGATATAACATACATCGCCTTACGTCATAATGGTATAAATGCCATGCGAAATATGAATGACATGACGGTATAAGTGTCATGACATCCATCATATTAAGCCAATATAGTACGATGTACCACTTTCTGTATCGCCAGACATAAACACAACTATTGTCATGTCACATGACATGCTAATTAAACAAAACATTTCTATCTGAATTACCCAGAGCAAGGAAATCAGATACTTGTTTTCCATGCAATGAAACGTATAATGTATGGTTCCACTGACATGGAACTCATTATTAATCAAATTATTAATCATACATCGACCTGCATTGTATCAATCACAAAAGAATGGTTCTCAAACAGCCTCCCTGAACATGCAACATGAAACTAGCATGCATTTTGAATGAATGATCAACACGTGCTTATATTGGCTAGATAAATTCATGGTATATTTCAGTTGTCCCGAAACTGGGCCAGACTTGTTTTAAAACTCACCGGTTTGTGCACAACACACAAGAGCTAGGACAGTGGTCAGCTGCATGGTTGTCTACTGCAGGCACCACGTACAATATCTCCGTAGTCAACGCCGTGGACTGTTGTTGCTGCTGTTGCTGGAATTACTCCGCCAGATACTCACTGTCGGGAGAATGGACGATGTAACATAGCTCATACAGCAGAGTGATGGGGATCCCACGACAACCATTGGACTCACAGATCGGACGAGTCTATTATCAAAGGGGCTTAGGCCTGGTGCCAGTTATAATTATTGCTAATTCAATTCAAGATGGCCAAGTAAATCGACATCGATTTTGAAGCAAATCATCCAATGTGTATGAATGAAGTCTGCATGACATCGTTTCTGGTAATGGACAATGAATGTGGTTCTATCGACCAGTCTGAGTTTTCTCTCACCGCGGCAACCATAATGAACTCGTCTGTCGGTACTATATGGATCGATTACACCGTTGCTATAGCATGGGGGATGCAATTTCTATTATTCATATTAGTTCCTTGGATGTTCCATTCAAGGGTTACGAACCGTTGAAATATCAGAGTCGTTAACAGTGACTATTGTTGGCCTCCCAACTGTAGAATGCCTTTCCTTTGATTAAACTCGTATCTCTACGACGGTGGCTTGTTTGCAAATTGATAACATGAAGAGTGACAACCAATTCAGTCACCAATTAGTCCCAAAGACCGATATTGCAATCTCAGGATTATATAGCATGCAGGTGGGGACCTGTCGGGGTGTAATTCTTGCCACAGAACGTCATCAAGCCCTGATTGTCAATACAGGATGTCACAGTTCTGAATTATAGGGTCATAGACAAATCTGTATGTTTGTGGAGCAAACAAAGCCAGTCCCATATGGCTTTAAGGCTCATTGACGCAAACTGAAATGCATATTGCGATGAAAATATAACACTGGTTCCACTTCGCGTAGACATATTTACCGTCATGTTGAACCATCACAGATCGAAGCTGACGGTTCTGGCGAAGCAATGATTTATTCCAAGTGAGCTGTGTCCAATGATAAACGTGCTTAGAGATGGAATGGCTTTAATGACTCAATCTATTTTGGCAACGATATTCTTTTTATGTTGTCAACAAACCAACTGTTTTATAGCCAAACAATCCAAGCGTGCCCCAGTAACGCTAGCTTCCCTTGAAAGGGGATACATCAATACTGTGGAGAATACACTTCTGGTCCTGCTTCAGCTAGAGTCGTGACGAATTTCCATTTCTCCTTCATTGAAGTCAAAATGTATTGGTCAATCAAACGAAGCGATGCTTAAAGGATTGCCTAGTTAAACTGACCCACGGGAAACCATGTACGCTGTACGTATTAATCCATGTGAAACCATGTGATATACGTACTGGCCTTTGTGAAACCATTCATGGTGTACGTATTGGTCTTTAGAAACTATGTACGCTATACGTATTTACCTTCGAGAAATCATTTGATGTTCGTATTGGCCTTTGTGAAACCAGTCATGATGTACGTATTGGTCTTTGTGGCGCCATTTGAATGTATTAATCTTTGTAAAATCATCCATGGTGTACATATTGGCCTTTGTGAAACCGTTTACACTGTACGCATTAACCTAGTTGAAGGTATTACTTGTTTAATGTAAAACCCCGTATGATGTTCGCATTGGCAAACGCGAGTGAGTGAGTATGGTTTTACGCCGCTTTGGCAATATTCCAGCAATATCACGGCGGGGACACCAGAAATGGGCTTCCCACATTATACCCATGTGGGGAATCGAACCCGGATCTGCGGCGTAACGAGCAAACGCTTTAACCATTCGGCTACCCCACCGCCCATGACCAAAGTCAAACCATGGATTATGTACAAACGTCAAAATTAGCAGTGCTTTAGAAACACGTGTCAGCATACTTTAGAACGAAAGCTCAAAGTGACAGAGAGCTGAGATATTGGCCATTTTGCGTCAAGTATTGTAATGGAGCTTTACAGTGATCAGATTCAGGTAACTATGAGGTGCATGCCTGCACGCAGACATTCACTGTTACCCGAGTGTTAACAATAGACATACACGGAATGCTTACTGACGGCTGAAAGTTAAAAGTAATCTCAATCGATAGTCCTAGAGCAAAGACGAATATGTTGAGACTGCATAGACGCCAGGAGAGTCGTTGATGCTGCTGCGAGGAATTAGTTGCAAGCGTTCCATGTGATTCCCATGTCAGGTCAAGGTGAACCAGGAGAACGGTATGACACTTTGAAAACCACTGTGTCACCTTGAACAGCACTAATGGTGTATCATCTTGAATACCAACGATGGTGTGTCACCTTGAACAGCACTAATGGTGTATCATCTTGAATACCAACGATGGTGTGTCACCTTGAACAGCACTAATGGTGTATCATCTTGAATACCAACGATGGTGTGTCACCTTGAACAGCACTAATGGTGTATCATCTTGAATACCAACGATGGTGTGTCACCTTGAACAGCACTAATGGTGTATCATCTTGAATACCAACGATGGTGTGTCACCTTGAACAGCACTAATGGTGTATCATTTTGAATACCAACGATGGTGTGTCACCTTGAACAGCACTAATGGTGTATCATCTTGAATACCAACGATGGTGTGTCACCTTGAACAGCACTAATGGTGTATCATCTTGAATACCAACGATGGTGTGTCACCTTGAACAGCACTAATGGTGTATCATCTTGAATACCAACGATGGTGTGTCACCTTGAACAGCACTAATGGTGTATCATCTTGAATACCAACGATGGTGTGTCACCTTGAACAGCACTAATGGTGTATCATTTTGAATACCAACGATGGTGTGCCACCTTGAACAGCACTAATGGTGTATCGTCTTGAATACCAACGATGGTGTGTCACCTTGAACAGCACTAATGGTGTATCATCTTGAATACCAACGATGGTGCGTCACTTTGAACAGCACTAATGGTGTATCATCTTGAATACCAACGATGGTGTGTCACCTTGAACAGCACTAATGGTGTATCATCGTCAATACCAACGATGGTGTGTCACCTTGAACAGCACTAATGGTGTATCATCTTGAATACCAACGATGGTGTGTCACCTTGAACAGCACTAATGGTGTATCATCTTGAATACCAACGATGGTGTGTCACCTTGAACAGCACTAATGGTGTATCGTCTTGAATACCAACGATGGTGTGTCACCTTGAACAACACTAATGGTGTATCATCGTGAATACCAACGATGGTGTGTCACTTTGAACAACACTAATGGTGTATCATCGTTGAATACCAACGATGGTGTGTCACCTTGAACAACATTAATGGTGTATCATCTTGAATACCAACGATGGTGTGTCACCTTGAACAACACTAATGGTGTATCGTCGTGAATACCAACGATGGTGTGTCACCTTGAACAACACTAATGGTGTATCATCGTGAATACCAACGATGGTGTATCACCTTGAACAACACTAATGGTGTATCATCGTGAATACCAACGATGGTGTGTCACCTTGAACAACACTAATGGTGTATCATCGTGAATACCAACGATGGTGTGTCACCTTGAACAGCACTAATGGTGTATCATCTTTGAATACCAACGATGGTGTGTCACCTTGAACAGCACTAATGGTGTATCATCTTGAATACCAACGATGGTGTGTCACCTTGAACAGCACTAATGGTGTATCATCTTGAATACCAACGATGGTGTGTCACCTTGAACAGCACTAATGGTGTATCATCTTGAATACCAACGATGGTGTGTCACCTTGAACAGCACTAATGGTGTATCATCTTGAATACCAACGATGGTGTGTCACCTTGAACAACACTAAGGGTATCATCTTGAATACCAACGATGGTGTGTCACCTTGAACAGCACTAATGGTGTATCATCTTGAATACCAACGATGGTGCGTCGCCTTGAACAGCACTAATGGTGTATCATCTTGAATACCAACGATGGTGTGTCACCTTGAACAACACTAATGGTGTATCATCTTGAATACCAACGATGGTGTGTCACCTTGAACAACACTAATGGTGTATCATCTTGAATACCAACGATGGGTGTCACCCTGAACAACACTAATGGTGTATCATTGTGAATACCAACGATGGTGTGTCCCCTGAACAGCACTAATGGTGTATCGTCTTGAATACCAACGATGGTGCGTCACCTTGAAACAGCACTAATGGTGTATCGTCTTGAATACCACCTTGAACAACACTAATGGTGTATCATCTTGAATACCAACGATGGTGTGCCACCTTGAACAGTACTAATGGTGTATCATCTTGAATACCAACGATGGTGTGTGTCACCTTGAACAACACTAATGGTGTATCATTTTGAATACCAACAATGGTGTGTCACTTTGAACAACACTAATGGTGTATCATCTTGAATACCAACGATGGTGTGTCACCTTGAACAACACACTAATGGTGTATCGTCGTGAATACCAACGATGGTGTGTCACCTTGAGCAACACTAATGGTGTATCATCTTGAATACCAACGATGGTGTGTCACCTTGAACAACACTAATGGTGTATCATCGTGAATACCAACGATGGTGTGTCACCTTGAACAGCACTAATGGTGTATCATCTTGAATACCAACGATGGTGTGTCACCTTGAACAGCACTAATGGTGTATCATTTTGAATACCAACGATGGTGTGTCACCTTGAACAGCACTAATGATGTATCATCTTGATTACCAACGATGGTGTGTCACCTTGAACAGCACTAATGGTGTATCGTCTTGAATACCAACGATGGTGTGTCACCTTGAACAACACTAATGGTGTATCATCTTGAATACCAACGATGGTGTGTCACCTTGAACAGCACTAATGGTGTATCATCTTGAATACCAACGATGGTGTGTCACCTTGAACAGCACTAATGGTGTATCATTTTGAATACCAACGATGGTGTGTCACCTTGAACAGCACTAATGGTGTATCATCTTGAATACCAACGATGGTGTGTCACCTTGAACAGCACTAATGGTGTATCATCTTGAATACCAACGATGGTGTGTCACCTTGAACAGCACTAATGGTGTATCATCTTGAATACCAACGATGGTGTGTCACCTTGAGCAGCACTAATGGTGTATCATTTTGAATACCAACGATGGTGTGTCACCTTGAACAGCACTGAATGTGTATCACA